TCGGAGAGCCGGCCGTGACCCGGGGGGCGCTGGAAGCTCCTTTAACGAGCGCAGCCGCTGAGGGGCGTCCGGGGCCTGGAACCGGGTCAGAAGCGTGAGGCAAAGCTGCCAAACGCTCTGTAGAGAGCGAGCGAGCGAGCCTCGGGGAGCCTGTCTCCCCGTAGGTCCGGTGGGTGAGAGACTGAAATCGGTGGGCAGTAGTAGAAGCCTGTGGGTTATGTTTGATAAGCTGCCTTTTTGGCAGGCATCAAGCCCTCGTCAGCCCGGATAACTCCAGCCTCTTCCAACTTGCTGCAGGAAGCTGTGTGGCTTGTCAGTCCTTCATCCCCCGGCAGATTCAGAACAGTTTGATCGGATCTGAGTCTTGTTATATCCTCCATGCTGATGGATATTTTAGCATTGTAGCAATAATGAAATACTGTATTTTGCTGATCTTACAACAGAATATAGAGAGCGGACAGCAGCTTAGTAACAGGTCGTTTGCTTTTTAACCCTTGAAGTTCTGTAATGAGAATCCACACTTAGAGGAAAATATGATATTCTGAGAACTTCACTGTGTACAGCCCTGCCATGAAACTTACTGCTGCCTCATCTGTGAGGCATCATAGTGCAGCCAGGGTTCAAAATCTGTTTCTGAGAATCATTTGAAATCGTGATTAGCAGTCTCTCAAATGTAGTGTATCTGTGATGATGAGATGTTGCTGCTCTGATGGTTTCTTACCTTTGGGCGAGGCAGGGCTCTTTGTTCTGATAAATTCTGAAGCTGCACTATAGAGATCCTTACTTGGCAGATACCCCTAGAGTAACCTCTAGTGCCTACCTGGCATTTGTCTGTGTGGTGCATTGGCCCTTTTCTCAGGAGGACTGAGGATTGGCTTCATCTTCCTTGCAGTTCACTCAGGTGCTTTTCTGAGGAGTTCCTGGGGCAGAGCCAGGGCAGGAGCAAGATGTATGAAATGTCCTAAGGCAGCCCAGCTACTTATTGCGCTCTGATACAGGGATTCCCCAGACAGGAGCAGGGATTTGCCTGCATGTGTACTATTTAGTACAAGCATGGTAAGTGGTGCTTCTGGGAAGCAGAGTATCTGCTGCATATGGTGGATCAACTGTACTGCACATGAATGGCGAATCTGACTCTTAAAGGAAATATGCACCTGTGTTCCATAAAAAAAGGGATGATAGCTTTTCCTTGTGCAAGCAGAGACTTTATGCTCTGATGGCCTGCTCTGATTCTGGCTCCTAAGTGTTAATCTATAAATTATCTAAGCTGTAGGCATTTGCTTCCCTTCTTTTTTAGAAGGTAGCATAACTTAAGGACTCAGGAGTTCTTGGACATGAAGGAGAGAGCAGAATTCTTCCCTGCATTTTTACCCTGAAACAGTCCCAATCCCAAGACCGAGACATTATCACTATGGTTTTATCTGTAAAATAGATTATATGCTTTCAGTTGATCTACGAATTCTTCTCACAATAACTTGGATAAAACCTACTTTGTTCTGCAGATCAAGCTTACTGAAAAGAACGTTAATAGTTTATGATTTTTTTTTTACCAGAATACAAACTAATTGTAGCTGTACCTATATTGAGTCTATAAAGCTGTCTCTTCTGTCGTGTATGTGATTTTTTTCTTTTTTCTTTTTTTTTTTTTTTTAAGGCAGCTGAGAATGGAGCAACAGGTGTTGAGCTGGATCTTGAATTTACTGCAGATGGTGTTCCCATTCTAATGCATGATGAAACAGTAGAAAGGACAACTGATGGGTCTGGAAGATTGCGTGACTTGACTTTTGATGAAATTAGGAGGCTTAATCCATCTGCAAAACATAGGCTATGGTAAATGAACTATTGCTATTCTGAAACCACTGTTTCAACAGTGAAAAAAACATTGTTGATAAACAAAATTATTGATTTGATTTATCACTGATGACAATTTTTGTAAATTTAAAACTTAGTCCCACGTGTTGCTTCTCATTTGATTTTAGAAGCTTATGAGACTATATCTCCTTACCCATCCCTGCAATATGAACAGTGAAGCAGAGTCAAGATAATTGGCTTTTAAGGACAAAATCCCCAGGCATCTAATGTGAAAAAGGTTAATCTCTACACAAGCTTCCCTGAAATTGACTGCAGGACACTAAAAATACTGGGACTTTCACGATATGTCAAAACTGGCTTGAGTCATTCCTTCTAAAAATAATTTTATTCACATATATTTCTTGCCTAGTTGTGTCTTGGGGGTTCTAAACATCAGGATTATACTGTTGAAAAGGAGCTAGACAGATTTCCTGGGTAGTCTCAGGTAGGAGCTGTGACCCAGTAGCTGATTAGGTCCTTTCCAGTGGTATGCAGGGGAAAATATTTTTATACATTACTAAAATTCTGATAACAATGCAGCTTCTACAGTATCATAAGTGAATCCATCTTAGAGGAAGAACTTTTTAGTGTGTGCTCCTGAGGCACTGCATTAGGGATTTCCAGACTCCTGTAAATATACCACCTGCGAGTCTGTGGTACAAGTAAGCATCTTCCCTGTCTGTTACTGGAAGGGTGATCACCTGAACCACACAGCGAGAACTTCCACATAGGCAGTTACCACTGATCAGCTTTTGTTCACTGTCACCTTAAGAGGAATAATTTATTAATGTGTGAAGCTGCTTCTCCTACATCCTCGGCTTGTCTTGCTGATTCTGCCAGGATCTGCCTTTCTGGCTGAGGGTTAGGGAGCACAGTCAAAGCAGGATGAAGCAGGTGCATAGGTGGTCAGCCATCGGGACTGAATGCTTATTTGTGGTAGCTGAGGAAGGAGGTGAAGAACTGAGGTTAGTGCTTCGGTGTGGGACATCGGGTCAGTGAGCATCAGATTAGACCTTGAATTTGGAAGGATGTAATTGTCTAGTGGGATTCTGGGGGAAAAGGAGATGTGCACATATCCCCCTACATGTGCAGCCTTTTACTGGGTGAGAGAGCCACCACTGCCATTGCTAGTGGTGCTTGATCCCACCTCTAATACTAGTGTATCAGCAAACTATGTTTAGGAATCCCTGGGAAACAGCTCTGTGTAGCTGGGGATGTGTGTGCCTGTGTGTGCGCACATGTGTATCTTGACTGCATTCCAGTGAGTTCTCCGTTTCTACAGGAGCAAATTCCAAGGTGAAAAGGTACCAACCCTGAGAGAAGCTGTCGTGGAGTCTATGCATCACAATCTTATAATCTACTTTGATGTCAAAGGCCATGCAAGTCAGGTACTGCTTACTGTACGAAGACACCTTCCTTCACCCTTTCTTTGGGTTTCTAACCTGCTTTTCTTGGTCTCAAACTGATATGTGTGGTACAGTCCCTCCTCTAATACGAGTGAGACTGGATCTGCTACTTGTGTCATCCAAAATTGGGCTGTCAAAGCAAAGACAACATGATCCCTCGTCCCATTCCATTGTCCTGGGAAGCTGCAACTTAAAATTAGCATGAGACTTGTGTGAGTGTTGAGTTCAGCTCACAGCACCATCATGAAACAAAGCAAAGTGAATTCCCTGCCTGTGCTGAGGGGAGCTACTATCTCATCTTCAGCCTCCAACTAAGGATCCTGCTTGTCTATCATTTGCATTACTGAAGGGAGATACAGGTGATCAATCATTAACATTTTATGCAAATTAGAATACTTTTTTCTTTAGCATAGCAAAATATGGAAATAAATTCATTTTTCCCCTTGAGCTAAACCCTAGGTAGTACTTCAGAATTTTATCCACAATATATTTAAGGGTATTTCAAACACTGAGAATGCTACTCATTGCTGTAAACCGAATCATGAAAAGGACTTTTGTTGCAAAAACCAAAATGTCATTTCTGTGTTAACGGTATAAACAAGATGCTGTTTTTCTTCTCCCTCCTTTCCATTTCAATCTTGGTACACAAAACAGGGAAGTATTTTTAAAGGGGATTGTTCTAAAATGACTTTGCAGTGTAAAGTAAATATGAGCTTATGTATAAAGATAACATCTGTGTGTATCTCTAATTGACAGGCAGTTGATGCCCTAAAACAACTCTACCTGGAATTTCCACGTTTGTATAACAGCAGCATAGTCTGTTCTTTCATGCCCGATGTTGTTTATAAGGTGATGTTTCCTAAAAGTTTATTTGGGATTTTTTTAGTTCTCTCTGGGAATTTGAGTAAGATATACAACTCCCAGTTCCAGGTTACTTTTGGGGTTGTTAAAATTGCCAAGACTTTAAAAAAAAAATGAAGCATAATTCATAAGTCCCCTGCACACTCTTATTAGATCACTCTTTGCTCATTAGATGCACGTATGAATCTACAGCAATTCCCTCCATTCTGAAAGCTATGTAGAAAAAAGTGTGTCGCTCTTACAGTTGGCATATGGGCAGGTATCTGTGTGCAAGGTCCCTGTTAAATCTCATATTTTGATATAAATGTAGACTATTCTTAAAACTTTTTCCTAATTCTCACTGCCAAGTCCGTTTACTATGTATTTTATTCCAATTTTTTTAACGTAAGAGCAGTTGCTTATTCAGTATGTTTAAAAGAAAAAACAGTAAAATATCATAAATGGCTTTGTAAAAGAGTTACAAAAGGATCTGGGGGGAAGGGGAGAAGGATTCTGGTAGAGCTGCAAATGCAGGCTAGCACTTTGTATCTAGCCTCTCCCAATTTATATTGCTTTTGTATCAATTACAGTCTTTTCTCCTTGATATTCCAGATGAGACAAGCTGACACAAATGTTGTAACAGCACTAACACACCGGCCTTGGCATCTGAGTCATTTTGGAGATGGGACACCCCGTTTCAGTTCTTCCTGGAAACATTATTTGTATATGATGATGGATGTCATTCTAGATTGGAGCCTACACAGTTTCTTGTGGCGATTGTGTGGGGTTTCAGCTTTCCTCATACAGAAAAATTTTGTTTCTCAGTAAGTGTTAAAGCTTGCTCATATATCAGGAAGCAATATCATTCCGTTAGTATATAAGGGTGGAGTTAACATAGTATGTTAATCAATATGTGCCATTTAGTGTTGCGTAAGGTTGTTTAGACAGTTTCTTTACCGCATGCTATTTTATTATTTTAAGCCTCTATCTTTTCAATCTGTATTTTTATCTTATGTTAGATCCTAAGTTTAATCTCAAAGGGGAAAAAAACTGTTGCTTTTGCCTGTTTACAGTAATAAAACACAAAAAGATGATGTTGCAAGAGATGACGTAGTGTCATTCTTGATGTGATACTGATGTAAGACTAAAACTGGGTTGTAGCCTCAGCAGTGTCTGCCTTAAATATGGTAGTGTCAGCCTTCCTCTTATGGTGCCTTTGTTCCTTGCAGGGAGTATGTGAGGCACTGGTCTTCAAAAGGAATTCAAGTGGTTGCCTGGACAGTGAACACATTTGCAGAAAAAACCTACTACGAAAGCGTCCTTGAATCCAGTTACATCACTGACAGCTTGGTGGAAGACTGTGATCCTCATTACTAGACCTGTGCTTTGTAGACACTCGCCAACCTAAATAAGGTATCTTACTCGGGCAGGTCTGAATTCACCATCAAGAGGGCATCCATTGGTGCAGATGGGACAGCTAACGATAGTTCTGGGCAAAGGAAGAGCAGTAGTTTACTTCTGCTGTGTGGTCAGATCTCAAAAGCAGAAAAACCCTCTGTTGCAACACTGGACAAAGCTGAGGTACAGCCATTCATAGTCTGAGGAGATCGCACTGTAATGTAAAAGGATCGGTTTTGACAAGCTAACTGGGCAATACGCTGTATGTGCAGGTTGCTTTATAATTCTCAGACTATTCCTTTGCTTTGTTTAAATCTTGGTTATAAAGTCATATCAACAATTTTTGGTGGCAAAATTTAAAATCATACCTTGATTTTAGTAATTAAAACAGCCTGCTCTATGACTGTGTAATAATTTGAGGTTTATTTATGGCATCCTAAACGTCTACATTACTGTTCTCAAAACAGAAACTGAAGATAATGGTGCTAAAATAGAGGGTGAATATATTTCCTCCCTACTGCATGGAAAGATGGCTGTGCTGCATCTTGACAAGGAAAAGAAAGCTGATTTTCCATGTTCAATGTGAAGACTATGAGAATTAATGAATAAAACCTGAGTATCTTCATATCTTCCAGACCTTTTAAAAGAACCAAGAGAGGATAGAAGATTACGTCTTCTAATGATACAGCATATGAATGTATTTATTTTTAAAAGAAAGCTGTATGTCGAGTGCTGGTAGCAGTAAAACAAATAGAGCTGATGTCCTTTTTACTTTGCTTATTGTTTGCATGATTGAAGGGCACTCACAAGGACATGTGGGAAACTAATCCAGATTTAACTTGAAATCAAAAGAGTCTGCAGTTACAAGTATCTGATAGCTCACAGGTACAGTATTCTTTATCAGCTGTGCAGAAGTAGACTGATGTAAAATGTCAAAATTAGTGCAGGTTGCTTGCTATTTTTTCTAACAAGTAAAACCCCCAGGTGTCCTCATGACAGCTACTGTCAAGGGGCTGTGAACAATCTTGGCTCTGCTCTGGAAAGAGCTGGTAGGTAGAGCTCCAGGACTGTCAATGATTAACAAGAGCAGAAAACTCCTCTGGAGCCAGCTCTAACATAAATTAGACCACCTTTTCTTAATGGCCAATACATGGAATTACTAAGTTTAATCACAGAATGCTTTGGGTTAGAAGGGACCTTTAGAGATCATCTAGCCCAACCCCCCTGCAGTAGCAGGGACAGCTTCCACTAGATCAGGTTGCTCAGAGCCCCATCCAACCTGACCTTGAATGTTTCCAGGGATGGGGCCTCCACTGCCTCTCTGGGAAACCTGTTCCAGTGCTTGACCACCCTCATTGTAAAAAGTTCTTTCCTTGTATCCAGTCTCAATCTATCCTCCTTTAGTTTAAATCCATTACTCCTTGTCCTGTCATAACAGGCCTTGCTAAAAAGATTGTCCTCATCCTTCCTATAGTCCCCCTCTAAGTACTGGAAGGCCGCAGTAAGGTCTCCTCACAGCCTTC